TTGCTAGGGATCAGATGCAGAGAATCTTGTAATAGATGGAAACAAAGAAATCAGCACTTGCAAAGAGTATAAATACTTGGGAACAACATTTAACCGAGAAGGAACGGATGACCAAGAAATAGGCAGTAGAATAACACAATCGAGAAGGATTATTGCATGTATGAATGGGATCTTGTAGAATAAAAATATAACGAAAAAGAGAAAATTTAACATCTATGCAACAATGGTAAAAAGTGTATTGCTGTATGAATGCGAAACATGGAGACTAACGAAGGGAAACAAGAGAAGGTTGGAAGCAACAGAAATAGATGCCATACGACGATCTTTGAGGATTTCACGAAAAGATATGATCAGAAATGAGGAAATTAAACAACGAATGGAAATAGAAAGCTCAATAATGGACGACATAGAGAGAAAACAATTGGTCTGGTACGGACATGTACAAAGAATGAGTAAAAATAGACGCCCTAAGCAAGTAATAGAATGGATACCTCCAGGAAAACGGAAGAGAGGAAGGCCAAAAACAACATGAAAGGCAGGGATACGGAAGTCTATAAGCGAAAGGAATTTAAAAGAGAAACAATGGAACAGCAGACGAGAATGGCAATTAGAAATCGGACAACGGCGAAAGACGTTTTAATCCGAAAATATATATATACATTTTTGATACAAATTTATATACTAAAAAAATAAAAAAATTTTTTGAATGTTTTAATATGCTCAGTGTATACTTATTAAATATTTTCTCGAATTTTTAAAAATACACAAACGTGGAAACATATATATAATAGATATACTGTGTATATCAAAGCTGATTTTTTATTAAAAAAGGATTCAAAATTACTTTCGTAAAGAACTCGAAAACATTATTTTGTAGCAATTTATACGGCATAGATCGCAAATAAAACTTGAATCGAGAATAGTTTTTTATAAGACGATCGTTGCAATTTTGCTTAAACATATTGTTTTTACATATTGTAAATGTGTGGTTGAAATATTTTCTTTATATTATTTTTTTCTTCATTATATTATTACATTGTTATTTTTATCCTTTCTGTAATTGGCAATCATTAATATTGTAAAGTATAAATTATTTTTCACAATGAATCTACTCAGCTCATAAATATGTAAAAAATTTTATTTGTAATTATTTAGATTTAAATACTTACAATTTGCGCTAAACGTGACAGATACATACATATATTAAGCATATAATAAAAATTCGTCTTCTTGTAAATCACGTTATTTCTTTAAAAATTTTAATATCTTGCAAAGTATAACATTTCTTTTACTTTGCCAAATCTTAATTTATATTATCAAATTGTTCTTATTTTTTGAGCATTGCAACTATTAATATAAACACAAATTATTATCTGAATTTGTTTTTTGTGTCTGCAGGTAGTACTGCAAATATAAATTTATAACACGTTTAAATTCATTGTATTATCAATTTTAACTCATTTTGCATTATTGTATAATTAATTGTAAGACGATGCAATAAAGTACTTTTTTCCTGCACACATCGTTTCTACCAACAAAAAATCCAATTTTTCAACCGCTGTATTCGCCGTTGATATAAAAAATAACTCAACATCTCAAATTTTATCTTGTTATTTAACAAGATAATATTTTATTTAAAATCTGATTATAATATTAAAATTTAAATTTACTGCGATTTGTGCTCAGCTGAAAATCATGCTTCAATGATTTTTCAACTCATTCCAGAACCAAGCATCTTCCCATCTGATGTAAGTGTTCGAATATATGTACGTCTTCAGCTCTGAATCTAAGCTTTTGTCAGTGGGTTCTATATTACCGTACGGGATTAATATCATGTCTGATTACTTCTTGTCAAACGTTTGACTAAACGCAACACGAAATTCTGTCTTTCTCCAGATGTTCTTCAAGAAGCTTGGCGACAGCACCATTTTCATTTGTCGGGACAATTCTAGAGATTTTACAATGTTTACCAATTGTCCATTCGCTTGTTAACCAATCTCTATAAGGAAAGAAACAGCTTGAATGACGTCGAGCCATTCTCCAGTGCGCGCACTAACACATTCATCACGAAATCATGATAATCCTGCGAGTAGCTTATAAACGCGTCGTATAATTTCTCGTTGTCTGATTCATCTTCTACATCTGCGTCTATTAAAAATCCATGAGTAAATAGCCTTTTTTTAAAATGCAGTTAATACATATAACAGAATGTGCCAAAGATTAATTCCGAAAAAGTAGAAATAAACTAGTAAATGTGCTCTGTATACAATTATTCTCCATTATTCTTCACATAATGAACAATCGGACAAAAATCGGTCAATTTCTTTGTCATCATGTTTAATATAAGTTTATTCTTGCCATAACACGTCACATTATGCAGATCAGCTATAATTTTGGATTTCGTGATAAGGAAATCTAAGAAATCTGTAGTATTGCAGTCGCATATCAATGGATTTCCACGTAACGTCAATAAAGTTAAATTCGTGGCGTTTCTCAAGAAATTTAACACATCGGAAGATATTGTTGATATATTATTATTATGTATCTCCAAGGCCTGAAACAAAGTTTGTTTTAAAATTTTATCGTAAAATGCAGCTCATTATTTTTTTATTACATTATTACCCTACAAGATAAAATAGATAAAAAATCAAATTTAATTTGTTTTTACGTTTTATAAAATATTTTTTTCAAAATTGTGTTTTTTACATAAAATACAATAAGTTTAAATACCTTTAATGTTTTCGACAATCCATCCAAGGAAATCTCGGAAATGTTATTGTGAGATAAGATAAGTTTGCTCACTACTCCATAACTCAAGTTTGTCAAATTTGGCATTTGTGTTAATTGGTTATTGGAGAGATTGAGTTCGACTTGCCAGGAATCGGGCGGCTTTATCATCAAGCTTGGCACAATAGTCAAATTTTTGCGAAAGCAATCAATCATAAACGTTTCTTCCTCCTGCTTCACAAAGCAGTTACACTTATCGGGACACATCACAATATCTATATGATCTCCTAAACATGACTTGTCAAGTTGCAAATTTATAACACGCACGTCTTTCAATTGGAATGGAGTGTAACAATTTAAATTTTCTGAATCTATACGAATATGTCTTTTGACGCTAGGATGCATTTTGCCTTCGATATAGCGCAGAAAGTCATACAAGTCGCAATCGCAATGCAAAGGATTATGTCCAATCAATATCGCTATGTTGTTGAACCGACCATTATTGATCAAGTCTTCGACATCGTCTAAACTGATGTATAGTATTTTATTATAAGTTAAATCCACTTCGATTCTTTTTGATGCAAACTGTAAATCGCGGATCTAAAATGAACAAAAAAAATCATAAAATATTATCGACATCATGAATAAGCATTTTGAATAATGACACATTTGTTATTGTTATCGATACTTTTAAATATACTTACAGAAAAACCGGATATATAGTTATTATTGAGATCCAGTTTCTTAAGGTGTAAATGAATAGAAATCCAGTCGTCGCATATTGTTGAAATATTATTGTGACTTAAATATAATTCTTCTAATAAACGACAATGAACAAAAAATGAATGTACTTTTTGTTCATCCATATGAATACTTGTAGTGGGCTGTAACGTTAGAGAGTTGTTTGAAAAATTAGCAATCCTTAATCTGCTTAAAGAATTGAAACTTGTATCAGAAATAACTGATAAGGAATTATCTGCCATGTTCAATTTTTCCAACTTGATTAAATTTTGGAAAAGCTGACTGAAAGATTAAAACAATTTTTCTATTAACAAAAATGTAAGAAATATAAACATTGATGATGTTGATATATTAATTAAAGTAATAGAAACGTACTTGTTAATGGAACGAATACAATTTTTTGATAAATTTAATTTTCTTAAGTTTCTGAGATCCGAAAATATATAATTATGTAGTTCTTTAAGTGCATTGGAGTCTAAATTCAATTCTTTCAGCTTTTTTAAATCCCGGAATATGAGTTTGGGTAAAAAACCAAGATCATTTCCACTTAGACTGAGAGTAGTCAGTGAGGAACATCCCCACAAAAGATCTTCCGGCAAAAAACTTAATCCATTTTTTTCCAGGTTCAATATCTTCAATTTTGTTAAATTTTGAAAATATTCATTTGGTAAGTCGATCAATTTCTTCTTATTGAAGGATAAGTCAAAACTTTGCAGATTTGTATTGTTTTGTAGCAGGTATCTTGGCAAAATTGTAAAACTGTTTTTAGATAAACTAGTGTTTCGAGAT